GGGTGGCTATCAGTTCTGTGTTGTACTGTTGACGCATACTGCTGTAGTGCAGTAACCTGGGCAGGACAGCTTCTATCTTGCTAGCAATGTAAATTGAGATCAGCCTGGTTCTGATACATATTTGTTTAGCATTCGTACGAAAGAGCATGTATTGGTGATACACAGAGATAAATTCAGGAAAGAGCGAAAGCTTGGCACAAAACCGTGTTTCGAAGAGAACATGCATCGAATATGCTTGTGCTACTGCAAGATGATTCATTATTTTACGGTAATTCCAGTTGCTTGCATAAAAAGTCACATTGATCCGAGTACACAATTCGAAAAATGCTTTCGATTGCTGAACGTGCAAATTATCATATTCTGTGTATCTTCCAAACCATTTGTTGTGTGCAATTGACTGGTTTGTTAGTGCTGCTTGCCCTTGCACACCTTCGTTCGTGTTACATTCCTTTGTACTGATAAGACGAGCGAATACACACATAAGATCATGTATTAATGTGCACTTATCCATTGTAATGCTCATTTGAAGTATTTCATGCAGAATATCTTCTATCTTCTGTACGTAATAGCACCTTGGCTGTTCTTTCATAATTTTCTCGCATTCCGTGTTAAATCGTGCTATTTCGTATTTTTTTCCTTTTCGAATGGCTTGTTTTAACACTAAAATATGCGAACCGTGAAATATTCGTGCAAGTTTTAGCATCTTACTTCTTAGGTCGGTGAAGTACAAACCTAGTGATTCGTCATTTTGTGATTTTCCAAGCATTTGTTCTACTTCATTAGAGTTGTAATCTCTAAAAATATCTTCAAAAGATAACAATGCATGATATATCTTATTATATTTTGCTTTACCTTCTAACATATCGTTATGTTTTTCCCTAAATTCTTTCATACGCTCTATGTTACTCATTATTGGTGTGTTATGATGTGTACTCCACACATAATCATTTCCACCATCTACTCCGCTATTCTCACCATATGCATTCGCTATATTTGCTAAGTCTCGTGCACCACCTTGAGATGCTCTGATCCAAGAAATAATGAAGACAATCCAAAGACAATCCATGAGATGGCACGCAGCTGAACATTAAATAGTTCTAATTTTTTGATAGACATGACAGTAATGCGAGATATGGTATGTCTATTGACACTTGAAATGCTGTCATAAACGATGTAAAAGTACTACTCTGTGTGTTTTGGTATATGCGTACATTACTGTTCTGTAGAATGTAAATTGTGGTGTATTTTACCGATAAATTGGACTAAATCAGCATTCTACACGTCAAAAAATCATTTCTTAAAAGATAAGAACAACAGCATAGAAGGATAGTTTTAGAAATGGTACC